AAGTTTTTATTTGGGGGTTTAATTTTTTTTCTTTTTCGGAAATTTATTTTAATTTATTTTTTAAGTTTGTTGTTTGCAGCAATAGCAATAAATTTGGCAGATTTATTTTTTTTGTCATAGGTTTTTTTGAGAATGTTTTACAATTGTTTTTTTATTTTGAAATACAAATAAAATTTTGAATTTATTTAAGCACTTTGGTTCGGGAAGTAATGTAATATGAAAGAAGAAATATTTTTTAGAATAGTTGTAGAAGGGGAGGCCTCTAGAAGGTGCTATAGCCAAAAAAGGTGTCTTGTGTCCTTCTTAATATGGATTCTTTAAAAAAATATGTTTTCAAAGACCTCAAGTTGGATTGATTTAAAAAAAAATATTTTTTTAAAGGCCAATTGACGGGTGAGTTAAAAAAAAGTTTTAAGTAGCCAATAAATGCATGAGTTAAAAAAAAACTAACATCAACACCTAGGCATGGATTTTTAGAAACTAGTTTTTTCGGAGACCAGCTAATATTTCGGTTTTAATTTTTTTTTCAAAGACCAACCGAGGCGTGGATTCTTAAAAAATATATTTTTTTCAAAAACCATTCGAAGAGTGGTTTCTTAAAAATATTTTTTTTCAAAAACCATCCGAGGCGTGGTTACATAAAAGATATTATTTCCCAAAGATCATCCGAGGCGTGGGTTCTTAATTTTTTTTTTAAAGACCAAATATCATCCGATTCGTGGATTCTTAAAAAATATTATTCTCTAAGAGGCGTCGATTCTTAAAAAAATTCTAAGAGGCGTCGATTCTTAAAACATATTTTTTAAAAGATCCAAGATCACCCGAAGCGTGGATTCTTAAAAAATATTTTTTTTTAAACCAAAGGTCATCCGAGGGGTGGGTTCTTAAAAAAAATTTTTTTCTAAGACCATCCGAGGCGTCGATTCTTAGAAAAAGATTTCTTTAAAGACCCAAGATCATCCGAAGCGTGGAAGCGTCGAGGCCATCCGAGGCCTGGATTCTTAAAAATATTTATTTTCAAACACCATCCTAAGTCTGGATTCGTAAAAAATATTTTTTTCTAAGACCATCCGAGGCGTGGATTCTTAAAAAATATTTTTTCAAAGACCATCCTAGACGTGGTATCTTATTTTATTTTATTTATTATTATTATTATTTTTTTTTTTTTTTTTTTTTTGAAGGACCACCCAGGCGTGGATTCTTATTTTTTTTTTCAAAGACCAAACGAGGCTTGGATTTTTTAAAAATATTTTAATAACATAAAGTCATCAAAGGGTTAAAAAATATTTTTTCAAAACCTTAAGACAGGATGGATTTTTAAAAAAATATTTTTAAACACCAATTGACGCGTGTATTTTTATGGATGGATTTTTAAAAACAAATAGTTTTTTTCAGAGACCAGCCAAGGAGTGGGTTTTTTTAAATATTTTTTTTTCAAAGACCAACCGAAGCAGGGTTTCTTAAAAAATATTTTTCAAAGACCAACATCTAGGAGTGACTTTTTAAAGCATACTTTTCTAATACAAAGACATGGATAGACACCCTTTTAAAGGCCTTCTCTCATTTCTACAGCTCTTTTTATGGGAAAAAATATAAATTCCAAAGGTGTTTAACAATTTGGAGAAATTTAACAAATTTTAAAAGCTTAATTACACATCTTAAAAATGAAAATTTTTTCATGTTAAAATTTTCAAAAAAAAAAAAAAAAAAATAGAACTTTAAACAATACATTTTAAAACATTTTAACATTCTCATTTAAAAAAAATCACTTTATTAATATTTTTCACAGGAAAATCAGAAAAAAAACACTTTCGTTATGGTGTGAATTAAAGCCTAACACATTTCGTTTTGTTGTTGTTACTATTTAACATCTATTTTGTTAACCATACTAAAACTAGTTTGTTAATTTAATCATTAATTTTTTGTTTGTTTTGTTGTTCATACTTAATAATTATCCCTTTTTGTCCTTTTTTCTTTCTTTTAGTTAGACACTGAGCTTTTTTCGATTCGTTTAATAATTAAACATTATTTTTTGTTTTTTGTTAATGCAGTTCTTTTTTGTTTTGGTAAATCTTCATTCTATTCGACTATGTTGTTTTACATGTTTTGTTTAATTTTTGTTTGAGTATTTGTTTTAATATTTTTCTCTTTGTAAATTATTAATTTTTTAAAACTAATTTTGGGGGTTTTCTGTTTATTGTAAATCTAAAAAAACTACCATTGAACATTTCAATATTATTTTTTTACTGTATATAAGTTTTATAGTATTTACAATTGTTTTTTTTATAAAGAGAACATTTTCGGTTACCACATTTGTTTTTTATTTTCAATTTACTTATATTTTTTAATTATTTGTTTACTTTTATACCATGGCACAGGAGACATTCATTTGTTTTTTTTCTTGTTTATTTGTTTCTTCGTCGTGTTTTTTAAACAATTACATTACTAATATTCGTTGACCACAATTCAAACACAAAATAATTGTAAAGTAACAACATTTTGGTTTTGTAATTTCGTTTCATTTTTAGTTACTATTGTTGTTGTTGTTGGGGGTGTTTAGTAAACATATAACACAATATTTTTTTCTTTTAATATTTAAAAAAGGTAGATGGAAGGAGGTGTTGAATTTTTGGTAATTGAAAATAGAAGGAAATATGTTTTGCGTTTGTTATAATACGGAGTCTTATACATCAAATAAATTTGAGAATTTTTGAATATATTAAAAAATTGACAAGAGAAGAACCCCAATTTGTAGCTAATCACAACTGTTTGTAATAATTTACTTTGTACTTTTATTCTGGAAAAATTTATCACTTTCGCTCGAATTAAGAAATTGAATTAAAGCGGAACTGATACATATTTTTGTAAGAAGATTTTCTTGACGAAATTTCCAAAAGAATATTAAAACTTGAAAACATATTATTGAATATTTTAAATTTTCTTTCAATAGGTTCTAATAAAACTATCTATTAATATTGGACTCTATACTAACAACATCAGCTATAAAACTGCAATTGGGTTCAATGCTGACACTCTAAAACAATCCATTTATATATATTTTTTTTAATTATTTAGAGAGCTAGTTTATAAAAAAAAATATGTTTGTATTTGAAAAAATCCTCGTACAGATTTTTTCAGATTGGATGCCAGAAAAGAAGGAGAAATGTGGTTTACATAGATATGGTGTGAAGTCAACAGAATTTCTCTATATATATTATTTTTTAAATATATTCTTCACTTTAGAGGACATCCTGGAGGGTAATATGTATAAGCTGTAGAAGAATATAAAGTACCTCTAGAAAGTATTTTATAATTAGAAGACATCCTTAAGGACTTCAGAAGTGTCATGTTTGGTTTTCAGAAGTTCTTTCGAACGAGTTTTCTCTCAAGAAAACCTTAGGTCTATTGGAAACCACTGGAAGTAATTTTAAACAGTTGAAGACCTCAAAATAGAAAAACCGTGGATAGTCTTACAACTAAGGAAGATGTACAGTAGATGTAGGCTTATGTTTCAAGTCCATCCACGGTTTATTGCAAAGATCTAAAAAATCTATTACTATATAGCTGTTGAATACCTAAGGAAGAATACCTATAGAAAACCTATATTCAAATTTTCTCAAGCAATTCTTTATATTACAAAAAATACAAGATAAGGACTCACATGGAATTTATTTTATTGTAGGAATTTAATTAAGATTATTTTCAATCTTAAAGTTTCAAATTTTTCGAATTTTTTGATATACATAAATATTTCAAGGGGATTTTATAATGGACTCTATAGATTTTCAATCAAAATAGCTTTTTTAGATCTTCTAAAGGTAAAATACCATTTATAGAACCTTCATTCAAATCCCTAATTCAGGTGTTCCTCTGGAGGTATTAGACCTGCTGTACGACTTATAAAAAATCAGATAAAGTTATTCGATTTTATTTGTAATGGCATATAATAGAGAAAGTGTTCTAGGGATAGCAAATACGGCTTCTATGATTAAGATTCATTTCTTAATATGTTTTCTGGAGCCAATAAGCTTTGAAACCATTCCTTAGACCATTCTTCTCGTGTTATTCTGAGCCTCATTCAACCAATAACTGTCACAGCAGGCTATTGAGATACAATAATGGGGATACACACTAACGTCTGAAAACGATTACAAAAAAAAAAAAAAAAAAAAAAATCTAATGTAAAAATGTCTGACAAAACTCAATTAAACTTATTAGAATTTCTAAAGATCAATAAGGGAAACAAATGGAAATTTATTTGCAGGTTAAGAATACATTGGACTATTACGAAAAAGTTCATGAATATATTCATCTGATGTATTTTTTCAAGACGAATATAGATAAATAAGTCTTCGAAGAAATATATTTATAGGCAATAAAGGACAATTGGAGAATTTTGAAAGCAAATACAAAAACTATATTTTTTAAGAAAATAATTTTGAAACATGGATCTAATTACTATGTGTTAGTACTAGTCAACTAACTAATAGTAAAGTATTACAAAAATATTTGAAAACAGGGGTTGAGAAGTGACTCACAATAATTCTTCCCTTTTGAAATTCACAGATACCGGCTACAACACTTGGGGGATTTCATAATATGCTATGAAAATGTCTAGTAATTACAATCCAAATACCTACTCCTACTTCTCCTCCTTTGTACATCTACCTCTTTTTTCTAACTTATACTCTACAATAATACTAATTATAAATTCTTATAACTATATACTACATAACTACATACATATTTTACTTATATATAATATTTTTCAGTTATATGAGTGGGTGTGTGTTAATATCTATACAATTATTTATGTTTGTTTTTCGTTAAATACACATATCAAAAATTTTGTTCTCTTCAAGAAAAGGCATCTTTAGTAAAAAACAGTTTTAACAAATTAATACCAAAAACTAATAATAATCAAATAAATGATTAAATACTAATAATAATAATTTTTCAATAATAATAATTAATTTTTTAATACACCACTGTCTCATCGTTTAGATCCACAGTGAACCAATAGTTTCGGTTATTATATCTAAGACATCTTGTCTTTCCATTTCTTTGAGAACCATAAGCAGTTCCACAATGGTGTGGGAGGCATGTGAATTTTGTGTTGCCCGACATTCCCAGAGATTTAGGATTTGTTCTGTGGGCGAGGGTTTTGTTGCAAAATAGGCAATATAACGATCCGTATTTAATTTCTTTGCCAATAGACGCCAATCACGTTCATCTTCCCGCGGAGGATCGAGCGCCGTACAAATCCTTCTCTTCGTATCACGAGGCAAATGCACTGTGGTCAATGGCATTGAGGCCTCATTAACATAGTTGCCATGTGGATCCATGGTCACCGTACTCTGTCGCTCCAACGACGAATGTTGTGAGTGATGTGAATTCGTATGGGATGACATGGTCTGTTGTTGTCCCGGCAGCTGCGGTGTTGGCATTTGCGGTCGGCTTATACTAAAGGAATGCACTTCTGAGTATAAATGATGACTATCACTACATTGAGCAAAATCGACAGTTAATTCATTCGACGAGTACAGCTGTTCGTTACGTTTGATCATAAATTCACAGTGTAACACGGAATTATTCGAGAGAATATGATTATAGGGTATTATCTGTTCGTGTAGGTCGACTTCGTGTTCAGTGTCCCACATATCGGCATCTGAGCTACGCAGTCGAATATTCATATCACTATTATTCAAATAGAAGGCGAACGCTTCACTTTCACCCATAAACGAGCCACCCAATTTCGATTCAATACTTGAGCATATATCCCGACTATTTGGGAAATCTTTGACTATATATATCCGCAGCGAGCAGTTCGTGCTTGACGGTGTAAATTGACTAAAGGCGATTAGGCGCATTTTCAGAGAATTCTGCACAGCTGCATTGGGTATTTTTGGTTCGGCCACCACAACAAAACGTCCCAGCTGTTCGGTCATAACATAGACATGTTCAGGTTCAAGTTGTACAAAAACGGGAGTGTTTATGGTCTCCTCTCCCACAGCAATAATGCGACGCCAATTGACATTCAAATCATCCTGATCATTGTCGGCATAATAAATGAAAACATTCCACATATTGGGTTCGACCAGACAATGGGGTATCTTCAATATGACCGGTTTGAGGAATGTATAATTCCTTGGTGAACAATGTACAATGGTACTGCATACGAGTAGGGCATCGGAATTGGGTATAGACACTCGGGAAGTTTCATCGCTCACCAACATTAGGGAGACATGTTTACGCATGCTTTTTCCTATTGAATGTTCTGGAATGTAAAGCATTATTTCACCATTGTAGAGGTTGAGAGAACCTCCGCTACAATTCAGCTGATCATAGGTGGAACACTTTGAGGCTGCAGAAACTGCTCCCGTTGCACTGCCACCCATTTTGGCATTTACCTCGTAGGTGGAATTGGCTGGAAGGGGAGAAAATTGAAATTAATTGATTGAAAATTAATTTAAAGAGGAAAATGTCTGATAAAGCCTATTCAAGAATTCTAAAAATTCTTCATCTTTACTACTTACAGGTATCGACAGTGGATGTATCCGGGGTATCTGTCAAATAGTCCACACTTAAATCGTCAATGGGATTGACATAGCTATATGGGGAAGATAGAGAAAATTTTATTAATACAAATTTACGGAAAATATTTCATTTTGAAACTTACTTGGCCGACAAATTTGGTACATCATAATGATGTTCGGATATCGAACAGCCGCCATGATGGCTGGGTGGCAAGAAACGATGACCCGGACTGGCATAATCATAATTATCATTGGCCTGTTCAATATGCATGCGCATATCTTTTTTGCTAATATCAGGTAAATATTTAGGATCCATAACTGTATAGGAATGAGGAAGAAGAAGACAAAATATTAAAAAAATTGAATTAAAAAAAATCAAAATAAAAATATGATATATTTTGTATAAGAGTAAGAAGAAGAAAACATATTGAAATGTGAATTGAATTTTATATATAAAAATAACTCCTTACCCGTTCTGGTCATATTGTAATGTTGATTGACACGAATACCCTTGCGGGCACAACATATCAAAGCGGCGCCAAAAGCAAAAAATACCGCGGTAATAAATGCCAGACCCAAATACAAGGTCCAATCGAAATCTAAAAAAAAGAACAGGACAAATTAATATCATGAACAAAAAATCTGCAAAGAAAATCAATCCTCAAGGAAAGTTTTTCATCGGTAAAAACTCTGTCTCTCCAGCGACCAATTTGGGGACACATTTTCGATAAAGGGAATATTTCGGGGACATATTTAGTTTTTTGAGGACCTGTTCGAGTAAAATTTTAAGAAAAAATATGTATGTCTTGAATTAGATTTTTAAGTTTTGCCGGGTTAATTTTTATACCTTACAATGTATAAGGCTACAGTATATCCAGGTGGAGTATATATAGTTTTAGGAGTATATATTTTTTCCATCGAAGTGGCTGAAATTTAGTATTTTGGGTTCTCTTTGCATAACAAATCTTCTTACCAAAAATAATCAAAATTGGCCCAAGTTGCGGGGTAGGTCCCATATAACGGTATGACCAAACATTCGATTTATTGGGGAGTTTGGGCACATTTTCTAACCAAATTGGCTATAAATTTATATTTTTGGTTCCCATTGGGTAGTAAAATAACATCTTTCTATCAAAAATTTTCAAAATCGGTCCATGTTTCACAGAAGCCCATAAGGGTATCTCCTCCCGAATTTCGAAATTTTGGGGATATTAGGTAGATTTTTTCAATCGAATTAATTAAAATTTGGTATATCGGGTTCTCATTGGGTAGAAAACCTGCCCACCAAAAATTATCAATATTGGTCCACTTTTAAGTATAACACCCATATAACGGTACATCCCGAATTTCGATATTTTTTGGGGAGCTTGGACATGTTTTTCAACCAAATTAGATGTAATTTGACATTTTTAGTTTTCATTAGGTGTAAAATCTTTCCATAAAAAATTATCAATATAGGTCCACTTTTTAGGGTAGACCTTATGTAAGGGAACCTCCCGTATTTCGATATTCTGGTGATTTTGGGAAGTTTTTTAAACCGAATTGTTTGAAATTTGGTATTTTGGATTCTCATAGGATAGAATATCTGCCAACCAAAAATTATTAAAAATAGCCTATGTTTCGGGTTAGCCCCCATAAAAAGGTACCCCAATTTTTTGAATTTTGAGAATTTCAGACACATTTTTCAATCAAATTGGCTGTTTATTTGGTCAATATTGCTCCACTTTTGATTAGGCAGAACATCTGCCTACAAAAAATGATCAAATTTGCTACAAGTTTCGGGATAGTCCCCATATAAAGGTACTCCTATTTTTTCGGAATTTTGAGAATTTCCGACACGTTTTTATATCAAATTTGCTGTTTATTTGGTATTATGGGTTCTCTTTGGGTAGTACATCTTTAAACCAAAAATTATTAATATTGATCCACTTTCGATTGTAGTGCCCATATAAGGGTACCTCTAAAATTTCAAGATTTTCCGGGAGCTTGAACCTGTTTTTCAACCGAATTAGCTAGAATTTGGTATTTTGGGTTCTCTTCGAGTATCAAATCTCTCTACCAAAAAATATCAAATTTGCTATAAATTTGGGGGTAGGTCCCTTTACATCGGTCCCTTCAGAAATCGGAATTTTGAGAATTTCTGAAACATTTTTTATTCAAATTGCCTGTAATTTTATATTTTGAACTCTCGTTGGGTAGAACATCTGTCTACCAAAAATTATTAAAATTGCTCAACTTCTCAGGGTAGTCCCCATATAAGGGTAGCTCCCAAATTTCGATATTTTGGGGGTTTTTGAGAGCGTTATTCACAGAATAGGCTGTATTTTAGTATTTTGGGTTCCCATTGTCTAGAAAAATCTTTGTACAGAATGTTGGAACCAAATCGGGCACTCCATTCGCAACATATGGAATTTACAAGTTTTTCGAATTTTCACCCTTTATAGGGGAGGTACTTGAAGGAGTGGTCCTATGGTTACCATACTCGGGGTTAATTTAGGTTTGGTAAAAAGTATTACAATGTGCAAGGTTTGGATCAAATCAAATGCATTAACAAATTTTCAAAATTTCGACACTTTGTGGGGAAAGTACCCGAAGGAGAGGAGCGATAGTTCCCATCATCAGGTATTTTCTAAGTTTGTAAAAATATTATGACGAGAAAATGTGGATCAAATCGGACACTCAATCCAATTGTTTTGGATTTACACCTTTTAAAAATGTTAGCACTTAGGAGTGGACCTGTGGATCTCATCTTCAGACTTGATGTAGATTTGAAAAAAATATTACGAATTTGGGTCCTCCTCATACTTGTTCGCTACATATGAAATTTAAAATTTTGTCATATATTTTCACATTCTGAGAGGAAGGTTCTAGAGGGGGTAGACATCATCTTCGAACTTGTAAATCGATTCCATGGTTTCTAATGAGGGAAATTTTTTCTTAACAAAGGGTCTATACCCTGTCTCATTAGCCATAAGGAGGCTGAAGATGTAATTAAAGGACGAAGTCCTTGCTTAGAGTATGGAAACTGTGATAATTGCCCCATTTCGAATTCCGACAACCTCCGCAAAACCATGACCAATTCTCAAAAATTTCAAAATTAATTGTTGTTTTGAAATTAAATTGCAGTTATTTTTTTGTTTCTTATCCAGATTCCTTATCTGTCATCAACAGCGTTGAGGAGCGAGAAGGGTATGTCGTACCCATTAAATGGCCACATAATTTGCAGGCTCAATAAGGCCCCCCTGCTGCTGCCTTGAAGAGTACAACAAAGTGAGGGATGGGTGGGTGGTTGAGTGAGTTGAGCGGCGTTTGTCATTAACATGTTTGTTTGTGTTAATTTGATCTAAAGTAATTGTCAAAACAATGTTGTTGTTAATTTACGTCTTTGTTGTTGCTGTTCTTTTCGTTTTAAAATAGACAACAACAACCCACGAAGTTTGTCTATGAATGGATATGGTTACAATTCAATCTGTGCTTTTTATGATGTTCGGCAAACACCGCAGCAGCGCACCGCAGTACACCATACCACCACCGCACCACCACCATCAATAATATGTCACCCATCTGCATGTTCTCCTCCACCTCCTCCTCCTGCTTTGTTCCCCAGTTTTTTTGCCATGCTATTTCTCCTCTGTTGTCATTCATCTCCATCCGCAGTGAAGATCTATCCATCCAATGGAGGGTAATTAATTTTCTCCACAACAACAACAACAACAAAATGAAAATTTCGTGTGTTGTTGTAACATAAAAACCAGATGACATTTAAAAAGAAATGAGATGAAGAGGAACATCATGCCATGCAGAGCCAACCCGCCAACCACACATGACGTCTTCTTTGTTGTGTTGGCTGAACATTCCGCAGTGATTCGTTAAGGAACATGACATAATGCCAGTGGTATGTGGGGTTTATTGAAGACACAACCAGGACAACAACAAAAGCAAGAAATGAGGATATGTCATTGGAAAAATAAGCAGAAGCAGCAGCAGAAGTTGGAGGAGGATGCATCCAAGCTCTCAGTTATGTGTCACAAAAACACAAAACAAAGGCCGTATTAACGAGCCAAAGGACCCAGGCAACCAAAACCTGGCAACCTAGGCTGATGCTGCTGCAAGAGCGCAACAATAGTCCTCATCATCATCATCAAATAAAAAACCATAAATCCTGTATGACCCCCCTATCTCCCACATACAACAATAATAGATTTTTTTTGAAACTTTCTATGACAAATGCGAACGTGTGCCATGCATGTCTGTCGGTAGGTCGGTCTGTCTATAGGCCTGCTTGCCTGTATCTCAGCCATTTTTTCTGTTTGTTTTTGTTATTATAGAGCTGCCAATCTCCCCTCTTTCTTCTTTCTCTCTCACTTACCATCCTTGCCGATTTGACAGAATTCTCCACGACACTCAGCTGTCTGTATATCCTTTCCGCTACATTGGGCTTTGCTACCGCCGCCAGCCATTAATGGTCCTAGGGCGCTTGAACTAGAGCTACTTCCGCCTGAACTGCCAAGAGCAGCAGCACTTAGACCGCCCAGCTTCAGGCCCAGGCCTTTGGTACCCAGAACCACATCATCATCATCATCCTCGTCATCATCCAGATCATCGTCATCATCATCGTCATCGTACAATATATTGCTGCTGCCGCCGCCAACTGGAAGACATTTCCTGCGTCTTATTTGTATGCATTCAGAGGAGCATGAACTCCATTCACTCCAGGCCGACCAACGTCCCGCTGTGAGAAAGACAAAGGGAAGAAAAATAGGAAAAATCGTTTAAGAAAAAACTCAAATAGTGTGGAAAACTACAAGCAAAGCTGGAATCCTTTTTTCTTGCGGAATGAAATATGTTTTGTATTTATTTTTCTGCTTCTTCTTCAGCCAAACAACAACAACAACAATAATGAGAGCATTGAAATCCAAAAACAAATACAAATAATAATAATAATGCGAAATAGTCGAAAAGGAAAGAAAAACAGAAAATGCCACCATCAAACATAAGAAGACAACAGAAGAACACAAAGAAAGAAAGCCACCAAGAGCAAGAAATTAATATCTTTATTGTTTACTGAACATGTCATATTCCTGCCACGGAATCCGCCGCACCACAGGCAGGGACCTCAACGACAACAAAAACAACAACAAGAAGAGACAATATGAATTATAGCAGCCACACAGACATGACTTGATTCTTGTGACTAAAATTGTATTTCCTTATATCGTTGAGGGGAAACCCCTTCCCCTTCATCTAGCATACATTTGATTTCTAACCCCCCTTCGGTCCTTTTTTTTCCAACTTTAGTCCTTTAGCAATATTTCTTTTTGTCCTAAGCTAGTATCACATAGCACACACAAAAGGAGTCTTAACATCTAGTTTTGGGAAGAGCATCAGGATAAAAAAGGACACAGTGTTTTATTCTTAAGTAGATTTTTTTTGTTTGGGTTCGGATTCGGGTTGTGTAATATGTCCTGCTGCTTAATGTAAGTTCTGAAATGTGGAATTCCTGTGTCTCACAAGGAAGTCTGAAAAATAAAGGACGATACGAGGGGCTGGGAAATTTGGGAAAGGAAAAGAGGAAATTTCCCAAACACAGAAAAATAAAATGTAATTTTTAAAGATCCGGCAGAAATTGTATACGCTTATCTTGACTTTTGACCCTCTGCAGGATAGATACTGGAATGAACAGATCGAAGGGTCCCATCTTTGGACCTGATTTAGGTTTGGTAAAATATTTTTTTCGGTAGGCAGATTTGACACCCAAAGAGAAGCTCAAATACCAAATTACAACCAATTTGGTTTACTAACGTGCTCAAGCCCCAAAAGTACCAAAAAACCGCAAATACCATTATATG